CCCCCCCGAGGCTGTCAGGACACTAAATACCCAGCTGCCTATCTTACCCCCTACCTGAAAACAGTCCCCCACCCCCCCGAGGCTGACAGGACACTAAATACCCTGCTGCACACCTTATTATTATTATTATTATTATTATTATTATTAATATGATACGTAAAATAGTGACTGATCACAAAAACCAGGCAGCAAAAGCACAGGGAGGCTGGATAAGCTTTAAAAATGTGAGAAACGGAAAATGCCGAACTTGCTGTGTCTGGCTGGGCCTGTTGGCGGCCCAGTCCGGCTGATCAGGCAGCGAGGGGGTGGCACGCAAACACACGTCTGTCTGCCAGGGCTGCTAATTTAGGCAAGAAGACAGGGTGGGACAGAATCAACCCCGGGGGGTGCAGATCCCAGCAGTGAAGCCCTTCAGGGAGACGCTTGACCTACATTGCTTCAGTAGTTCAGTCGTTTTCTAAATGGTTGAAATGATCCCATTAAGGCTGTGTTGATCCTTAGCAGGATATGCAAAGAGAGCTGATTACTGAGAGGATGTCTGACGGCTGCGAGCCCTAAGAGTGACATAACAAGCACCCTCTGACGCCTACCAAAACTCCGAGCCGACCAGAATAATGACTTCAGGACTTGCCCTGCAGGAGCCTTTCAGCAGAGACTCGCAGCACAAAAACTGACATGGGGGTGCCGAGTGGGTTAGGGCACGTGGTGTGCCTGAGATCGGAAGGTCGCCGCTGTGAATCCTGCGACTAATATCAGAGTTGGGCCCTTGAACAAGGCCCTTAAATCCCAACGGCGGCAGAAGCACAGGAAGAGGCGGGAGGATTACCTGCCTACCAGGATGAGTGAAGTGTCACTGTTCTGTCCTATTAACCGTGAACCACAATGAGTATTTCAGCAGTATTTCAGAGACACAAGCCCTCCTGATTAAACGCAAACCTCCAAGGGATCACCAAGCCACTGTCTCACTAACACAAGCACAGATCTGGCACGCCGGTGTTCTAAACAATCAGACGGAAGTCTTTCATTCAGCACATTTTTCTATCCTTGCTCTCTGGCTAATCCCTCTCCTGCCTGCGCGTTGTGGAAGCTCCCTAATCCTTTCCTGCCATTTGCGGAGCTCTCATAAGACCCCGGCGATGAAACATCCGCGCGTTAAAGAGCCAAACCTGGGGGCCAAGAGGAGCAGAGCCCAGCCCGAGCTGTCGTTAATCTCCTCCTTACTCCCGGGGCCTGGTGGTTACGGCTCCTTCGGATGTTCTGGCTCCTGGGAGACGGAAGGCAGGAGGAGATCCATCTGCGGGCGTGACGAGTATGCACTTTCCAACTGGACTGCCATACCGATGCCACCATTCCAGGCTTATAAAAGCGTGGCTTAAGACACGATCAGAAGGTTGTTGGTTCAAATCCCAAGGTTGGCTGACTGAAGAGTGACTTCACTACTGGGGCCTTAACCACTGCTTTCTCTCTACATGGCTTTGGATAAAGGCTTAAGCCCAGCTGGATATATGTACAAAGCACAGTGTCCTGGTGACACAGAAACCTATTGGACTCTGGCATGAGGACGCGCAACAGGCCCAATTCTGGGTTTTGGTTAAAGCGGGTTTTCGGATTTTGCTAGAACAGCAACCTTCAATACCAAACCTTCAATACCAAAGCCCTAATCTGCGGAGGACTCAGACCTTCACAGGGAGCATGGAGTGGTGAGATAGAGCAGCGTTACTCCGCCGCTACAGCCGATGAAGAAAACACACAGCGGCTGAACAAAGAAGCCATTAACACACCGAGGCCGACACAGAAGCTCTGTCCCGTTTGAACACAGACCCAGTCACTTCCAGAACTGCTTCCCTTCGCCTACGAACAGGCCGTCGGAATGAGAGAGAAACGCAGGCTCTCCTGGGAACCCAATTCGCCGAGAACTAATGCACCGTTTGATCGAGCGGACTCTTCATCTCCTTCACGAGACGGCCATCCTTGAAATCGATCTCGGCGCGTGACGTCTGTGACAGCGGCGGAGACAGCCGGGTGGGGGCGGTGTGTGATGGAGGTGGCCGTGATTAGCATGCCGCTCACAGACGCTCACAGTCGCTCACAGACGCTCACAGACACAGCGTGGCGCTGCATCCAGCCTCTCCTTCTGACCTTCAGGCTGGCCAGCAGCGACAGTAAGGCCCCTGGCAGGGGAATGATCGCGGCGCTCTATGGCTGAGCTCTTTGCCTCTGGGAAATACTGCTGGTCCATCACAATCAGATCCTTCTAGCATCTGAACAGCCCCTTTCCCAGAGCCGTCTTCTGGGTCACCAAGCAATCCTAAAACGTTGAATACTGCGTGTATTTTTATAGAGGCGTATTCTTGTCACTGTCTGAGGACGAAGCTTTCACTACTAGTCACTGTTTGTTGAGCAAGACCAAAAGCACAAGGATAGTTTGTCATTTTATTCCTTAATTCATCACGTTGGACCTCAGCCTCAGACCTCACCATCTACAGGTCCTGTAGTGAGACTTTAAGCGTGAAACTCATACGCTACGATACTGCAATGGCCGTTTTGTAATCTTCCTTGAAATCCGGCTCTGCCCTATCGGACGCAAGTTAAAACACACTGTGTTACCTGAAATACATGCACATTCCAATTCTGACAGGCCGCATGTGAAAACAGCAGCACGTATTAACCAGCAACATCGACTCAATTACCAAACTACAGCTGGTGTTTCACAAACGGAACCGCTTTCAACATTTGACTGGCTTTGATAATCCCTCCGCAGAGAGACAAACGCTGAAAATTACATTACTGCATCTTTGATGTTTTCATTAATCTCAATTTTCTGATTTGGATTCATAATAAACCTAATCATGAAAAATAACCGATTACAGCAAACTTTGGAGTTAATATTCACTTTATTCTGCAGTGCTGAATGGACAAGCCTTACTCTGACTACACATGTGTGTCATACAGAAAAAGCATTATGGGATAGATGGAGAAAACTCTGTCCAATACACCTGCACAAATGACAAATAAAACATCATTCCTTTCGTTGAAAGGCCCAAAAAACCGTGAAAAGTCACTTTCGAGCAGCTGGCGCTGCTCGGAGACTCAATCATCTGGTCACGGATCGGTACACAAGCTGAAGACGCCCCGAGTTTGGTCCTGGAGGAGCTGCAGCAGAATAACAAACGTCAGCCTCCCCCCCCCCCCCCCCCCCCATAAGACAGGGCAGACAATGTGCTGTGACATTTAGATAAAAGACTACGACACTTGGGGAGACGCTGCGGATTAGCTCACCTCCTATCAGACTTACAGAAATTATCTGGATCGTAAGAAACCTTAACATCCTCATCCCAGTCAGGTACTGATTCACATATCCATCCAAACCCGGCGGGACCTCGGAGCTCTGCACCTAGAATGACCTTGTAAACCTGCCTCTGTTCTTCCAGGCCAGGTCAGAGGTCAGTGACCCCAGTACTTAAAAGCAGCAGGATCTATAGCACTGGACTTCATGCCACTTATGTGTCGAATTATTCTACTGAACCTGGATCTCCCTGGTTAGACTGATAAAAAGTATCCCCACCCCCAAGCAGAGCTCATATTAATCTGGAACATTCCCTTCCAGCTCGACAGGAAAGGAATGCTGGAGACATCTCAAAATGTCAACGCTACGTCCACTGGAACCAAAGGGTTTAGCTCCTCCTAAGCATTCAGCCATTGGACTGAAGCAGACCATGCAACCAATTCAGACACAGTCGGGAGCAGAAAGTTCTGATCCACAGAATGTAACCCTTGACCTATAAAAGTCACTTGACTTTTGATCAACAGTTAATAGTTAATCCAGTAATACATCAAAGCTCAGATCCACAGAATGTAACCCCAGACGAATAAAAGTCACTTGACTTTTGATCAACAGTTAATAGTCAACCTGTAATCCAAACAATCCATGTATTTATGTCTTAACCGTTTCTTAGGATCATCTTAAAACAAAAACTTTGCAACAGAGTAAAATGCGACATAAAAACCAAAGCAGCTGGAAAAGTCTCGCTCGCAGCGTCTCCCCGGATCGTTTAAGCTCACATTTGACAGTCCGCTGTTAAAAACAAGAGAGTGGCCAGGCTATTAACACTAAGAGTCAGTGTTTGCTGACACGGCTCATTAATATTGACAACTGCATCTCGAGCTACAGGCGAGAATGAAGAATGCCTCCCCAAGACAACGTGAATAGCAAGGGGCAGGTTAACTCGTGTTTGACTATGTCGTCTCTTAAATGCAAAGTCTTATTTACTTCGCCACGAACCCGGATCATAGCACTAATGCTCCTGCCATTTAGAGCAGCGCCCCGTGCATCACCTCAGCATGCAAGGTGACAGAAATCTCAGCGACATAAAACTTATAATTTCACTGCTCGGGCCGCACAGTAAACTTCTTGGCTGTTAAAAGGAGCGGCATACAGGACGCAGGCAAGAATCGCACGAGTTGGAGCAGGATACAGCTCATTAGGTTTCGCTGCTTCAAAGGGGGAATCAGCTGTTGTACCCTAGAGGAAAGCGTGTAATCAGAAATGCTCCAGTAACTA